TTAAAATGTTATTATACATTAATATATATATATATTGTGCTATATTTTATAAAATGAAAAGAATAAAATTATATCATATTTTATCTATTTTCTTATAATATCTATCATTTTCAAAGAAAACCATTATATTCAACTAAATATGATTAAGTTTTTTTGAAATTGATAAGTTAATACATTTAGGTTAATAAATATAAAATATTAATTCGAAAAATCTAAAATTTTCGTAGAACGGGTTAACATTCGTAAACTATATAATTCATGTATAAAAATCAATTTATCTAAACATTTTATATAGGGTAGTTTATTATATAAAATGAATAAATATAAAAAATTACTATCTAGCGTTTTGAATTATGGATTACGATCATAATATATAAACAAAATAATTTTCAAATATTTTGTTTCATACTTAAGAAATTGGTTTAATAATCAAATGAAAATTCAATAAGAAAAATATATCATAAGAAGAAACATATATCTATATATATATATATATATATATATATATGTGATGATTTGAATTTACAGTATAAAAAATATAAAACTAATGTATTTCAAATAATTATACAAATATTTAAATGTGTAAGTAACATTAAAAATGTATATTTTGACCTGTAAAACAAATATTTATATATAAACCTGAAAATATATATCCGCACGGTTGTGCGGGTCGAAATCTAGCTAGTGGTTGTTAAAATTGCAGTAAAGATAAAAAATTACATATCCAAGATAATTCTAAAGCTGTATATTAATATTGGCAACGACAAAAAGATAATGTTGGTTCTGATTTTCGTTTAACCGGTTTGGTTCAAGTGATCATTGTTTGAGTTGGATGTAAAGAAGTGTGCTCAGTAAAAAGAAATGTTGAAGCCAGTATTATATGAATCAAGTACGTGCAAGCTCAAGAATTTGAAGCTTGAGAAGTTGCTATAGTGGTAAATTTTTTGTTAGTATACATGTGTTACATATAGAAAATAATATATTATACACGCGGAAATAATAAAAAGAACATATCAAAATGCAATGATGTGGAATATTTTCATATGTTTGGTTGACAAAATTAAAAGATTTATGATGCTAAAATATAAGAAAATAATATATTAGATAATAGGAAAAAATTATTTAATATATTTCTTGGGTTTTATCTAATTTGGGATTAGGACTTTTAATGTTGTCATTCTCAAAGAGAAACACAAAGGATTTTGGGATTTCACAGCTGAGTGAATTGGTAGACCTAATCAACATGTGTTGAATGAAGTAAGTTGGATATGTTAGGAATTGATCAGTGTCGAGTCGTGCATTTCTGATCAAGCAAGTCTGTAAGTGATTGTGTAAAAGGTTTTCATATAAGAGATAAGTGTTTTTGGAATTACTTTGTGCCTTGTGTTTTTTTATGTATCTCAATTCTACAATTGGGATCAGAGCCGGACACCTAAACGAAGAAGAGTTCTTGAACCAAGGTGAGATCCTAAGAGGAGAGTATGGTGATTTTGGTACATAATATGTTGCTGATGAATGATGTGAATTATGAGTATTGGAAAGTGAGAATAAGAGCAAACTTACGTGGAACTGATGAAGATATATAGACAGTTGTTCAATCTGGATGGGAAGAACCATATGTGATAATAGAAGATAGTGTGAAGACACCTAAACCAATGACAAAGTGTACTGCAACAGAGAAAAAAATTTCAAAGTTTAATGCAAAAACATTAGATACAATCTTCAGTTCTGTAGATGGTAAGCAATTTGAGCTAATACAAAGATGTGAATCAGCTAAAGAGGGTTGGATATAGTACAAAATGCCTTTGAGGGTACTGTGAGTCTTAGGAGGATAATATTAGACTTACTTGCATCACAATTTGAAAACATAAGGATGACCGATGATGAAACATATGAGACTTTAGTGCCAAGCTCAGCTCCATAGCCAATGAAACACAAGTTTTACGTAAAAAATATGAAGATGCAAAATTGGTGAAGAAACTTTTGCACTTTTTACCTACCAAGTTTCCAGCACATAAAACAGCGATAACTTCCGACCAAGAAAAAAGCAGGAATAACTTCGACGAGGAACACTGATGAACTAAAGTTCGCTAAGGTAGTAAGGATCTTAAAAGCTGAGGAGATGGAATTGAAATCTAAGCTGTCAAAGCCTGTTTAGAATTCAAAACTTTCAGTTGATGACGAAGACATCCAAAGACTTCAAAAAAAAAAAGAAGAATCTATTCACCTAATTATTCAGAAACTTGAAAATACCATGGATCCTTTGTATAAGATGTCTAACAACAGACTGCCTGGAGAAGAAGAAAGGCATAAAAGCAGTAAATGATGTGTTTTAATTGTCATGGTATTAGACATGTCAAAACGGATTGTCCATCATTCAAGAGAAAGAAATCAAGTGTAATAGATGTAATGATTATGGGCACATAAAATCAGATTGTGTGAACACAAAAAAAGATGAAGATGAAGAGAAGTTGCAGTAATAAAAATCAGAAGAAAAAGAAGATGCTCTCAATTTTGTGGCTCTTCACGGAGTTATAGAGTCTAAAAAGATATCACAAAAGGTGAAATTCGTGCTTCGTGTGCGTCAAACACCAAATTTGATGAGTCACATAGTGATACAGAAAGCGATCTAAATTCATATATTTTTTCTTAGTATCATGTTTTCTTTGGTCAATTTGCTAAACTTAGTGAAGAAAATAAGCAGGTTATCAAAGATAAGGAAATGTTGGAAGAACAAGGGAACATTCTAGAGTCTGAAAACAACAATAAATCAGAGACTCAGGTGTCAAAAGAAGAGAAGGAGTTTAATCTGCAGAGCCTACATAAGACAATCTTTGAGCAGACCTATAATCTAAAGAGTGTGGAGACCAAATATGAGCAAACAACTAGTAATGAGAAACTAGAGAAAATTCAGCTGCTGCAAAGAGAACTCAGTGAAAATTACAAAAAGTTAAGGATGTTGAATAAAAGATCTGAAACTTTAGATTATATTTTATCACTTGGAAAATCTCCAAGGGTAAAATGAGGTTTAGGAAACAAGGGTGCTGCTCCAAAAAATTAAGCTAGTCCAGTCAATGTTATCAAGTTTGAAAAAGGTACTCCATCTCACCCTGAAAGTAGTTCGAAAGTTGAGAAAACACATACATCTGCACATGTGGAAAAGGAACATAAGGCTCAGACAAAAGCACACCCTCAAAAACCTGCAATATCTCAGAGGAATAAATGTTTGTTTTATGGGAATCATGGTCATAAAGTTGCTTTTTGTCATTCTTGAAGAAACCATATTAAGAGAGCTTGGAGGATGAATTTTTGTTATGTGAAACCCAAAAGGTATGGACATGTATGAATAGGTTAGAAGGATCTGTATCTTAATTTTACAAAATGAGTGTCACACAAGCCTACCAGTGTGTCATAAACTCGAATGGATGATCAATATATTAACCTTGAAGAACCAGTTCGATGGTCTAGGAGGTATTGAGAGTTTTGATGGTCCAACAAGTATCATGAAGTTGTCACAGAGTTTTTCACTCAAGCAGGAAGAGATGATATTTGATTTTAGGGGGAGTTTGAAATTTATTTTGATGGGATGCATGATGTACATTATGTTTAGAGGTTAGTGAGTTTGAGTTGTAAAACTCAATGACAAAGGGGAGAATGTAAGCAGCTTGAGAAGTTGTTGCAGTGGTGGAGTTTTGGTTTGTGGACATGTGTTACACATGGAGAGTACTGTGTTACGTTCATGTTTTGGGGAATAAAAGAGGAAACATCAAAATACGATGATGTGGAATATTTCTATATGTTTGGTTGACGAAATTTGGAAGATTTATGATATTAAAATTTAGGAAAATAATAAATAATAGGAAAAGATTATTTAATATATTACTTGTCTTTTACCTAATTAGGGATTAGGGTTTTGACATTGTAATTCTCAAAGAGAAACACAAAATATTTTGGGGTTTCATAGCTGAGTGAATTGATAGACTCGATCAACAGGTGTTGAGTTAAACAAGTTGGATGTGTTAGGAACCGATCTGTGTCGAATCGTGTAATTTGAATTAAGTAAGTCTGTAAGATATTGTGTAAAAAAAATTCACATAAGAGAAGTGTTTGTGGAATTAGTTTGTGCTTTGTATTTTTCGATGTATCTCAACTCTACAATACGATCACTGTGGTATGTGAATATCTCAAATAAAAGATACTCTTCCACGTACGGAAATACTAAAAATTACGCCATATCTAGTTGTAATGATTGATACATTTGAATATGATGAAGTTATGGTTAGGCAAAACGTGAGTCATGTACTATTCAATTAAATAAGGTTGTAAAATGAATAACTAACTAGCGCTTTTTGTGTTTGGCCGCTTTTAAATCAATTATTAATAAGTGAAACTTCAAACTGCATTGGTTGGTTTGGTAAAGCAGAGGGAATGTTGCTTGTCAAGTGATTCCGACATGAGTCTATTGTCATGTAAACTCATGCTCATACTGACGTAATGATCCACTTTCTGATAGTTTTTTTTTTTGGTAAAACACTTTCTGATAGCTACTCGAATAGTTTTATATACATACCATGCACACAACGGGCCACGGATAACAATTGCATTTTTGTGATGCAAAATAATCAGTGATAAGATAAGACTACACATGGAATATTTTGCGTTTCCGATTTGAATAGAAAGAGACATCCACATGTAGTTGCAATATATGACTTATAAGTAATCAAATTGTATGATTGGATTGGACTGATATCAGTGATTTTTGTGGTCAGTTAAACTTCGATTGCTTTCAACGCTATGTAACATAGTCGACTGAAAAGAGAATAATTACATGACATCATGCAGAAGATCATTTGAGTTTAATCAAAATTAAATAATCACTGAGCACAAATAATGGTTGATCATCGCACTATTGATGACATGCATAACTTTATGGGTAATAAAGATTAAAAAGTGTTTATTATATATTAGTATAGGTAGTAAACTTTGGAAGCTACCTAGAATCATTTCTTGAGAAGCTTAGAGATTTGGAGAAGACAGCGAAGAGATTTTCCATCGCGAAGCAGCTGAAACGCATCGTTTATCTTCTCAAATGGAAGCTCATTGGTAATAAAAGGTTCCAATTTTACAACCTACAAATAGAGAATCCAATTAATCTTGCCAACGTACGCAAAATTAATTTGAATTAAGTAAAGTTATTGTATATGGAATCTAGAGTGAAGATTCAAACCCCTTTCATGCATTGTTGAGCAAAATTTGGAAGCTGAGATTTGGGCTTGAAACCGCCGAATATAGAACCAGTGATTCTGCGGCCGTCGAAAAGCTCCATTGGATGAAGAGGCAATGTTCTTGGCGTCAGATATATTCCTACAAGCACCGTCGATCCCCAACCCTATCATCGTATGAATTTTTTCACACTTACTTGCTGTTCAAGTAACTAATCTAACTTGATCAAGTAAAAAAATTAACTCGTTGATCGTCTCAACTGATAATATTAGTAAGGACTTACGGCATGAGTAGCTAAAAAGGCTTCGCGAAGAACATCGACATTTCCTGTGCATTCAAAGCTATAGTCCACACCTCCACCGATTAGCTCTCGTATCCTCTTTTAGGTAAATATTGATCCATCAAAATGGTTAGAACCAGTCAATACGAAGTTAATTTGTAAAGCTTGATGTTTTGTTGTGTTATAAAGTTGACACTACCTCATGTACTGGTTTTGTTAAGTCTTTGGGGTTTACAAAATCTGTTACTCCCATCAGTTTACCTGCAATAGTGGATTGGATTGATATGTTAATATTGGCTATGTTCAGAACTAAAAACCGCGTATAAATCCAAATGTTCTTTCAGTGATCGTTCTAAATTACTGTAAAGGCTTTATAAATGAACAATGTTGGAACAATGAAATTTACTACTTTTGTGAAAGGTTAGATTATCAAAAAATATTTAGATAAAAATAATTCAATAAATAAAATAAGAATTATTAATTTTCTCGAGTATTGATTCATACTTCTTCCGTTCAATTTAGTTGTTGTTGTACAGTAAAATTTTTGTTTAAAATAAGTGTTATTTTATTATTTGAATGTAAAATTTATTAATTTTACCTTCTATTCTATTTTTATTAATTGAAATATGGTTAGATTTACGGGTAAAGATATTTTTATTTAAAAAAAATAAAAAATTAAATATATTTTTTAATTTGTGCGGAACCTAAAACGACAAATAAAATGAAACATAATGAGTAAAGTTAGGGAACACTATAATATACCCGCTTCAGTTCGAAATGTTGTTATTCTTTTAAAACTGAAAAAGATTTGTTAATAAATCTATTTGAAAGTTGATACTAATAATCTGATTCAGCATTCATTTGAATTAGAATTCAAACCAAAATAGAGGACATTACAAGAAAACAGGGCTTATTCCGAGGAAAATTCCGACGGCCACGCAGTTCCTCGGAAAATTCCGATGGGATTTCGATGGAATTCCGACGAAACACAAATTTTATGTTTCCTAGGAATTCCGTCAGAATATTCCGACGACATTCCGAGGAACCTATATTCCGTCGGGATAAACCGAGGACATTCTGAGGATAAATTATAGCCGTTGACGAGCCGTTGGAAAAGTTCGAAAATTCCGAGGATTTTCATTTTCCTCGGAATTTCATCGGAATATTCCGACGGAATTCCGAGGAATATTTATGACCGTTGTATATTCCGACGAAATTCCGACGGAATACTAGTTTTCCGTCGGAATTTCGTCGGAATCGTCGGCAGAATTTCATCTA